ACAACATGGATGGACCAAAAGGGTATTATGCTAAATGGAATAAATCAGACAGAGAAAGACAAATGCTGTATGATTTCACTTATGTATGGAATCTAGAAAGCAAAAAATAAACAAACAAAACAAAACAGAAACAGACTCCCAGACATAGAGAACAAGCTGATGAGTTTCAGATGAGAGGGGTGTATGCGTGAAGAAGGTAGATGGGAATAAGAGGTACAAACTTTTAGTTACAAAATAAATAAGTCATAGGGATGGAGTGCACAGCACAGGGAATACGGTCAGTAATATCATAGTAACTTTGTATGGTGACAGATGGTGACTAGATTTATCATGGTATAAGATATATAAATGTCAAATGACTATGTTGTACACGACTAATATAATATTATATGTTACCTATACTTTACAAAACAAACAAGTCAGCACAGACAAGCTGGGCTCTTAACCAGGGTAGAAGGGGGTGGAGGGGGCTATGCAAAGAGCCCAGAGCTCCTGACAGATGACTGCTCCGTCCCCTGGGTGGAAGCCCCCAGCGGCCCCTAGGCCAGTAGTTCTCACCAGGGGCTGCACATCAGAATGGCCTGGGGAACTTTCAAACTCCAGAACAGGCCCCGGACCACCTACATGAGGATTCCCTCACTCCTTAGGTTGGGGGGCTCCAGCCCAGCACGCCGCCTCCTGCTGGCCCTTCAGCTTTAGACGGAGCTTGGTGTGAGCCTGCCCAGGTCATTCCTGGATCATTCGAGCATTAAGAAAGAATGAGAATGACCGTCTTTCTTCTAAGTGACCAGCACTTTGTTTTTCTTCCTCCCCCAGATGTTCAGCTCCTGGAGAAATTCCTTAAAGAAATTACAGAGGGCATGCTGGTACTAGTGGCCTCCTATGATGACCCGGGGACCAAGTAAGTGGGAACCTCTACCTGCCAGGCCGAGGACAGAAGCAAACCCAAATGCTTCCAAACCCCGCATGTCCTGTCCCACTCTCCCCCCAGCTCCATCTTCTGGCAGCTTCTCCTGAGGAAATAACCAGACAAACGCACAAAGAGATGTTCTAGAACAGCGGTTCTCAACCTGTGGGTCGCACACAACCCCTTTGGGGGTCGAACGACTCTTTCACAGGAGTCACCTAAGACCATAGGAAAACAAAAAGATATTTACATTATGATTCATAACAGTAGCAAAATTACAGTTATAGAGTAGCAACGAAAA